CATTGTTTGGTGTCTGGCGTGCTCAGAAGATGCTTAGCACTTTCGAACTATCTCCATATAAATGATCTGGCTTACTGTGTCATGCGCTCGATTTTAAAATGTCCTGTATGCAGGATTTGGAGAACCTGAGCTTGTAGTATTTTTGGTACCACCATTCTTGAACCATAAAATAGACAATTTGACTCCACGGAGAGTGAGTCTTGAATATTCTTAAACGTTGCTATATTAGCTTCCTCCTTGTTAAAGTGTTCTTTGTTTGTAGAGGACCGCCAGCCCTCTTGACAATATCTCATTACTGTAAACACTGTAGAATCTTTAAGTGAATCTTTAGCAAGGACTCCTGGGTCTATTTGTCTGATCTGTAAACTGGTTGGTTAGATCATAAATACATAATGTGTGTCTTCTTCACTTTCTTCACCATCTAAAATGTCATCAGGCCCTGAGGGTAGACGACGAAGAGCATCCGCATTGCAATGTTCAGTTGACTTACGGAATTCAATGATATAGTCATATTGACTCAAGGTAAGAGACCAACTGGCTAAACGATTTGCTTCCAGTGCTGGTGTTCCTTGTCCTTTTAGAAATATACTTATCAGTGGTTTATGGCCTGTTACTAAATCAAACTTAATATATTGATGGAACTTTATTAGTGCAAAAATAATTGACAGTGCTTCTTCCTGAATCTGGCTTTATTTGTGCTGTGTTGCTTTTTTAGTTTTAGAAATGCTAGCAATAGTCCGTTCACTGCCATCAGGGTATCTGTGACATCATTTACTTGTGGGAGATAAAAGTTATAAATGAAGTAAATGAAATTGACCGGAGAGTTTGGTGATGTTTTGGAATGAATTTAAGAGTTTCATTGTTTGTTTATGAATGTTTGTGATTGTGAGTTAGTGAGATGTTTTGTAATAGTTTGTTTGTGAGAGGTTTTGTAATAGTTTGTTTGTGAGAGTTTTTTTAAGGGTGATATGATGAGTGGTTTTGTAATAGTTTGTTAGTGAGAGGTTTTGTGAGAGTGAGTTGGTTAGCAATTTTATGAGAGTGATTTGATGTCAGATTTTGTGAGGGTAAGTTGGTGTGTAGTTTTTTGAGCGCAAGTTGTGATTATTTAGATGACACGAAGGCTACTCACTCAATTCAGTTGCTGCTAAATATCGTTGTAGTAAGACAGTTACAATTCCAAGGTATTCGGTGAGATAAGAGTAGTCTAAAGATAAGTAGTCAGTGAGATGATAGTGGTCTGAGGATAAGTATTTAATGATATAAGAGTGTCAGACGAAAAGTAGTCGATGAGATAAAAGTAAATGAGAATAAAAAGTCAGATAAATAAAAGTTGTCTGAGAATAAGAGGTTATGTACTTTGTCTTGATCTTATTTTAATACATTTAGGCCGCCCTTTGTTATTCCTATGCCCACTGTAATATGTATCTTTATTACAAATTCTTAAGAAATGTATTAATTCAAATTAATTTTAACTCCCTCTCTATCTCTCTCTGCGTCTTGCTATTTCTCCCAATCCATCTCTATATCGAATACGTCCTTCCCACTCTTTCTCTTAAACTCTCTACCAAACCATTTATTCCTACTTATGTCTCTCCATGTGACCATGACACACTTGATTCTGACTGTCTTAAGTTAGCTCTCTGTCTCCCTCTTTCATTTTCCACACCTCTCCAACTCCCAAATTTCTCTCTCCTTACCTCTGTCACTTTCTTCCTACGTTACCACTAAATAACTGAAAGACAGTTGTGTTATTTTTTTAAAATAAGGAATACTTTATTTCTCTTTTGATCAATAACTATTTTGGGATTACAATGTTTAATATTATATATACATTAGGCATTGTATAAGCAACTGGTTGTTACACTGTGTTATCATTAAAAAAAGACTTAGATTCTGAGCACATTTTGTGTGTGATTTTATCAAAGATATATAAAGACTGAGACATTTTAAGAGAGGCCATGGAAATATATATTTTAAATTTAAGGTGTTACGTTCGATAATCCAGAAATACGTGTATATCTTTTACGTGTTAGGAGTTGCTCGCCATGGAAAGGAGCTACTTTGAAAGAAAATGAACTTTTGTAATTGTATCAGAACTTTATTGATACAATATGGACATTTTTAAAATGTAACTAGGTGAAAATATATTACAATAACAAATCTTTTTAATAAATTTAGAATTTGTATATTTCAGGATCGCTAGAAATTCAAACTACATATATATATATATATTATTCTCATTAAACAAATTATGGATGTTAGGATGTCAAAATTAGTAAACATTAATTATCTTACCTTAATCTGCTTTTTTTTTTTTTTGGGGTGGGGGAAATTTTGGGAAAAAATGCAATGAAAGATCAGCGTTTATACTATTAAAATAAAATTGTATGGATACATGTACAAAAACAAATAAGACTTCATTTATGCAAGGCTTGTTATGAACTAAAATGTTTCGTGAGGAGAATATAATAGATTCGTTTAAAACACTAATTACATTTCAGCACATAAACAAATGCTTTGTGACTAAATGGATGTTTAATTTAAAAGGATATTTAATATTTTATTTAAAAAAAAAAAAAAAAAAAGTAGCATTTGTTCATGTAACATAATATAGTGATTTTCTTCAAAATGGGAATTTAATTTCAACGATGCTGAGATATTGTTCTTTTGTTTAGCTTTTAGCAAACAATACTAATATATATTTTCCAAACTTTATCTTTTATACTGTAAAAAAAATCTTTTGAATACTATTATATGAATCTAGTTCTTAAGAGTAACTGTACATGTTTTTATTACTTAAATGTAAGCTTTAACATTTTAGCTGTAAACTTGTTCGATTATTATTTTTCTAAACATCCACACTAATTATTAATAATGTATTTATTTTATTTTTTTTTAAATTGGTGTTGCTTAATAGACTAGCGACAGGAAAATAATCTCCATTCACCAATGTTTAAGGAAAGTAGTGATTTTTTAAAAATTGAAACACAGCAAACAAATTCAATTTTCAGTTTTTTGCAGAACATTTTTACACTTAAACATTCGAGAAAAAATAAAAGAATTCCAAACTAAATATTCATGCAAAGAGTTTATGAAAAGAAAAACTTTCAAGAAAATCTATATATATTTTTTTTTTAACAGGTAAGATAAAAAACGATATTTATTTTTTTATCATTTTACATTATTATTTAGCTCTCAATAATAATTCAGAATAACAATTTTGGAATTTTTTAATTTTTTTTTTTTTTAAAATATAAAAACAAACAAAGTAGAAAATATACCATTTATATACATGGAATTATCTTTTGGGGCGTCCATTAATTACGTCAATAAAATAGGCGGGGCGATGGAAATGCTTGACAGTGATTGACAAAGGGGAGGGAGGGTGTTTAGATAAGTTGAAGTCAAAAATCATGTTTTCTCTATTATAATTTGTACTTTAAAATTTGACTGGATATTAATTACATTATTAAAAAAAAAGAAAAAAGTGTGAATGAATGTAAATAGTTACATTATTTTTTGGCTTTTAATAATATACCTTTTTTTTAATGTATAAAATAAAATGAGTAAAACAGAGTATGGTTAAACTTGAAAAATTAAACGCAACAAAACAGCGAACGTGTCGGCAGAAAGCCTTCGTCAGCGAACAAATCAACAGAAAAAACGTTATAAAAATAAGAAAAAGCACTTAGCTTGTAAGTAGTATCTGTGGGCAGCAATAGAAGCACACTTGGTTAGTGCAAGAGAAGTCTAACGTTGGCCTCTCTTCACCTGTAGATTCTGTTTGTCGCAAAAGACAACGCGTGATCATGCTGTTGGCATGGAACAAGGTCAAGGTTCTAGAATCGTGTGCGGTCAAGACAAATAGTATTGAAAGAGTAGGAATACGATATTTTGAGAATTAAAAGAAAATAAAGTGAGTAACAATATTAGCATCGCTTCTTAAACGGATTTGCAAAATCTGTAACATCTATTCTGCAACCCAAGTCATGTTGAAAAAGCATGACCAACAGCACTCACAATGCCCTCTGGATCACAAGAAATTACCATCTGCTCCTCAACAAGAAAGGATTCCCCCCATGCGAGTAGCTGCAAGGAGATAGAAAGATTTTGGCCATTATTGCTCACATCACGAATGATTCTATTTTAAGTGCTGAATGGTTAGATGAGGATGATGTTGAATTTTCTGGTATATCAGTTCCGAAAGATGAAAATGATCAATCAGCTACTACAGACTATGTCCATCAGGGGCGTCATTTCAGTTATTTCAGGGTTTTTTTTTCGGGGGGGGGGGCAAAGCCGAAACTTGGTCGGCTTGTTAAGTTGTTCATTACTTGAGGCGCCACAGTGCATAGCAATTTAAATAAAACCCGCTAAATCAGGGGGGGGGGGGGCGACAAACGGCACCTTGCCCTACCCAAGTGATGTCCCTGCAGTCAATTGTTACGGTAGAGTAACAGCTGGTTACTCCAAGGGAAGCGGATAGCGGGTACAAAACTGTACAGAAACTTGGTCGGCTTGTTAAGTTGTTCATTACTTGAGGCGCCACAGTGCATAGCAATTTAAATAAAACCCGCTAAATCAGGGGGGGGGTGGGCGACAAACGGCACCTTGCCCTACCCAAGTGATGTCCCTGCAGTCAATTGTTACGGTAGAGTAACAGCTGGTTACTCCAAGGGAAGCTGATAGCGGATACAAAACTGTACTATAATTGACAGCTTTACTGACAATAAACATATCAATATCATATTGGACTTGATTTAATGTAATAATTTAAAATGATTTATTAGTGCAGATAAAAAGAAAATAATAAAACAAGCTAATAAAACAACATCAAGCAAATGTGACATTTTTTGTAAAACAACTTACTCGTCTTAAGTTAGTAAAGAGAAATGATTAATGAGTTGAAGTTTTAAATGTGCCCATGTGTTATCAACACTTGTATATCAAGTAAAAAAAAAAAAAAAATTCTTTTTATTTTTATTTTTAATTTTTAAATTGTGAATATTAGATGGAAATTTCTATTTTTGCTGCACTTAACAAGTAAGCACTGCAATGTCATCAAATAAAATTTGTGTTAACTAAGCTTACAAAGCATTATAAATCTAATAATCAGCAGAAATGAACAAGTCTTTTTTTGTGTGTCTTGGTGATATTTGAGACAGTTATGATTGCTCTTGTAGTGAGCTTTAATTGGAATTCAGCAGTACGTTTTCCCTCACAAGAGTCAGCTTCAACTTTCAGTGCCTCTCCACACGTTGTGTAGTCCCAAATAAAACAAAAATGTTTCAATGTAATGATGTCAATTCCCATAAATTGTATGGACGATTTAAAGCATTTATGAAAGAATATATGTTCTACCTTTTAGCTGAACGCTTTCTTATGGAATATTCATCGTTAATTAAGGATTGTGTTGACTTAACTATTCATTTGAACATGTATGCCCATAAATTAATAAACACAAACATTAATAAATTCCTTTAAATTGTATCCTTAGGGCTATTGTTAATTTAAATTTTCACAATAAACACACAATCTGACCAAATCACACAATTTAAAATTACATTTTCACGAGTTCCTTTATATAGTCATTCACAAACTATCATATAACAATAGTATGAGGTCAATTGTCTGCGTTTCCATTTGCAGTTGTCGCTAGTAAATCAAGGGGTGATTGTGTAATTCTAGGCTCCTTCCATTCCCTACAGTATTTAAAAAAATAATTTAGACATATATTTTTTAACAAAGAAATTAAACAAAAATTATAACTTTCTATGGCCGTTTTACATTGACTACTATCTTTATTGCCTCCTCACTTCCAGAAGATGTTTTCGTGATTGGCAGAGATTTTGGAATTCAATAAATATTTGAACACTACTTTAAGGATTAACAATACTTAAACAATTAATTGGATAATTAATCTTTAATTTCAGAAGGCCTACATTTATTAAATTTTACTAAATAGATACATAAAAAATAAAATTTACTTTTCTCCACTTTGTTTCCTTTCAACTTTGCAGTTCCACTTTGAAAACCACTTTTTGGAAGCCTCATAAAGAGCATTCTTTTTATTATTTTTTAAAGATCTGCTGTAAACTCTGATTACAACTTCCTTATAGGTTCCAGGACCTAATATTCTGCTGCTCTGTGTTCATTAAATAGATTGATATTAATGAATTTGAAAAATGTTGACTAATTCAAACTTTAAATTCAATAGATTTATATCATTAAAATATTTGAAAAAAGTTATTCCTTAAAATGAAAAGAAGTATTTTATATTTTAAATAATCATTTATTACGACCAAAAGAAAAATATATAAATTCACTGTCCTTTTTTTGTTGTCATTTTGCATTTAAACAGTTAGTTTTATGTTATGCAAAACCAGGTTACCTCTTCTTTTGTGAACACTTTAGCCTCGGTAGGATTTTTCTTTGAATAAACCTTCAATTTTTTGACAGGATTTTCTTCTTTCATTCCTAAATCAAAGTATGCTGCCTGATATTCATTTAAATAAAAATAAATAATAATAAAGTAAACAGGCGGACCATATATTGCTTAGAAAGCTAATCACTTTAAAAACATTTCTATTCGTTAAAAAAAGAAGGTTATGTTTGTGTTATTTTCTAATACATTTAAATATGCTAAGAAGAAACATTTCCGCTCTAAATTGGTATATATTTAAGCATTATTATATAAAATACAAATTACATTAAAAAAATTATAATAATTATTTCAAAGCTTTTATCCGAATTTTAAAGTTGTGATATTCTTATAATAACCACAAAATATGATTAGGAATTTTGTTTATTTTATTAAATCACAATAAAATTATCGTAAAACCTAAACATCTTTTTTGTTTTAATGGGTTGTTAGTTTTTCGAAATCAAATCAATATTTATTTGTTCTGAATAACTTGAAACAACATTAAATTAAACTTAAATAAACATACATTAGATTAATGTCAAAAGAGCGAAATTTAAACTTGCCAATTCAAATATCTAAAACACACCAAATTGTATCTTTTTATTTTAACATTAAACCAGACTTTTACTTAAAATTTGTTTAGAATTTTGTTCAAAATATGAAAACATATTTTTGTTTTCGCATTGCGAAAAGTAAAGCTCTCAGACAAGTGGTTGTAACTTTGTATAAGATTAATAATGATGACATGAAAATGACAAGTGATGATAATATCTTACAATAAACAGTTACAACGTGACGCATCAATTTTAATCGAGTTCTAACTTTAATTGTTATATAGTCTTACTAAAAAAAAAACAACTTGCAACTGTGACTACCATAACTAAGTTTATTATATTGCCATCTTCCTTTCAAAATGCATTTTATAAAGTTTCAAAATTTCCAAATCAAGTGGATAACCACTGTATAGAAAGTTTAGCTGAATAAAAAAAATTAATCAACAATTTTACCAATACAACGAGGTCCATTTTATTGATTTCTGTACACTGTTTTCTTGCCTTTGAGAGGATGTTCATCTCAATAACCTTTAGGTCAAGCTGGAATAAAAGAACCAATTTTTGATTGTTTATAAAAGCAATTCATTATTTAAAATTGGGTGATGGTTTTGAAACTGTGACGCCTTAAAATAAATCTAAATAAGGCAGATTAACACACTGTTGATTCAATCTTTACTCAAGTTAAGACTAGTTTCTACATGTTTCTAATTATGTTAGCATCTGATCAGCCTCTGTCGAGATTTTATAATTAAGTTACTTATTGACAAAAAATTACACGCAGACATTGGCTTTTTTTTTTATCGTATACTAATTTCTTTATTTAGCTTTCCTAATGTGTCCACCCATAACCTATTATTTGATTACATACATTTTTCCTATCATGGATTTCTTTTGCACTAACTGGACCACTTTCAAAGACGCACGTGTAGAGCTTTCTTTTGAAAATTCGTTCGATTATTTTCTGGGCTAGTTTTAATTTGCGTTCTTTTTTGGACATAGGTGTGAGTTGTGTTGCCTCAATAACGTCAGTAGTAGAGGCGCTAACATTTGTTGCACTGTCCTCCATTAAAATCTCTTCACCATCACTCTCCTCCACTACGTCCCATTCATCTTTTTGTTCAGGTGTAAAAAGAGATGGGCTCTGAACAGATTCAGGGTTTAATGTCTGTGAGTCGATTTCTTCTTCATTGTCAAAATATAAAATTTTGAAGAGGACATTGTCGTTTAGTTCAGCGTATGCTGTCATATCCGTTATACACTCAGAAATCTTGAGCATGTTCCTGTTAATCATAGTGATTATGTTAATTTACATATTTAATACTATATAATATTTTTTGAAAACAAATGCGGAGATGTCAAATGAACTTAGATTTGTAAATAATGAAGTTGATATTTTACTGCTTTTTTGTTGTCATTTTTTTTGTTGTTTTTTTTTTTCAATCGTCACACCTTCCCCTTTTTCCGTTATGGAAACTCTATTTTTACACATCTTTTTGAAACAAAAGCATATCCCCAATTCACTTATCTACAACTAAATCTTATTTTAGTAATGTGATTATGCTTGTCGTACGTGATAAGATATCAGTAATTGTCACGTCTGGTTTTGTTAACTTAATCAGTTGTTAGATTTGTGAGATGAACTAGACATAAAAAAGGACTGAATTGATTTAATCAAATGTAAAGCTGATAACACTAATCATATGTAAAGCTGATAACACTAATCATATGTAATTTAATTAAACAATTACATTATAAAAATACAAAAAAAACAATATACTGAAAACAATTTACTTAGAGCACAGTAAGTGAACATTGTATTGCTCAAAAATAAAAACATAAATATAGCTCTACTACTGAACGTCCATTCACACATGTGTCCGCTCTTAAAAAAGGGATATTGCTATGTGTGTCAAGTTTCTAAGACTGCTCACAATAATGTTACCGAATTGCTAATGTGTACTATTAGGAAAATAAAGTGTGATGAACTATGCAAAACTATACAAATGTACGTGAATGAAGAAATCAAAAGTTAAGTTAATATTTATACTTTCCAAAATGTATACTTTCCAAAATATAACCGTGCTTCTTTATCTGGAACTGGAAAATACATTATTTTTACTCATGCGTGTTATTTTTCATGTCCTGATTGTCAAAATAATAGTTTGGTATAACGGTTGTATTTGGGATGAGGTTACCAACACTTATACATTGGTGTAGGAAACACATGTAATCGATACGTGTTAGAACATACCGAATATAAACATCATATCGACTTGTGTTAGCCGAATACTCGATTCCTTTAAACTTTCAGCTGTCAGGTTGTTAATAAGTTAGAGTGTCCTCAACGCAAGTTTGTCATACGAATGTTGCCTTATTAGTGTGTAATGCTATCAGTTTTTAAGGTGAATGCTCGTTAGACTATACTGATTTTTTTTTTTTTTTGTATTCAATAGTTTTGCTGTGTGGCGGACATCTGTCCTGCTGTATTAGTGAAGAGATCGTCTTTAAGCTTTCAGGACATAAACAATTCTTTTTATATTTTCCTGTGTTGGCTTGATACCGTGACCAATCCAAAGCCAGAAAGAAAATGACCATACTGGGAATGCATGATGTTTGTCTCCAATCCCAGATTTAAGAATTTCAGTACGTTTGAGAATTGCATTTTAAATTTTTCATAAAATGGTTTAAACCTATAGTAAAGATTTGCTTGAACGATTTAGTATGAAATAATCTTATTTAAATGACAAATAGTTTAATATTCAAGCTACAGCTATTTCCTATACAACTAATATATACTAACAGTCATATTTTTTCTTATCAAGCTCAACACACACTTATAAGGAAATGTAAACATGTTTATTTGATGTATACTTACGTGTCCTCACCTTGGAACTGGATATATTCATTGGCAAGTATAAGTGCATCAGTTACCCTTTTGAATATTTCATTGAGATTAAAAATTAAGATTTCTATACAATTTAATGGTACAATTCATTAGTTTTTCGGGATTTTTTTTTTTTTGTATTTCATATAAAGTAGTATACATTATTCGAGTTCAACATAGTTTTTTTATTATTTAATCTTTTGATAAAAGGAGGGGAGGTGGGAGATATTATTGTTATTTGGCCAATCAAAGTCACGCACATTAAGATTGACTTGTATATCAATGTTGGGAAGATGTTAATTACAATGAATTAATTTTAAAAAAAAATAGATTTATTTGGAAAGAAAGCTTTTTGAATGATCAATGGTTCCTTAATTATTCAATTGCCATCGTTTGAGGAAGGCATCCATAATAAGTATCCTTCAATTTAAAAGAGTGCGAGCATGACACACATTTCTCTATGACACCCTCACTCTATGCCACCAATCATCACTTTGCAACTAAACAACATGATGTTTGTTGTTGTAGAAACTGTTAATATACATCAGTATTTTAACAAAGGGGGTCGGAGACAAAAATCGAAGCCAAACATATCAACCACATATTTTATGAAATCTTGCATATTTTGACATATTTTTAACGAAAATAACATTTAATAAAAAATAATTATAATCAGAAAACCAACAAAGTCTTACATGATTTCCAGACCACAGTTCACTTTGTGTTGATAAGCATATCTATCAAGGGTATAGCGAGTGTAGAACATGTTATACAAGTTTGCTATTTCCTGGGACAAAAAAAAAAACAATTTTTTTCTCTTTAAATTTTATTTGTTCAACTTAAAAATATTATGTTAAAATCCTGATTTAAATATTGTTGTCGCTAGGGCGTCATATTTGTGTTTGGAAAGGGGTGCCAACATTTCGGAGTGTTGGTTGTGTTCGTAGCGATTCCTAGTGACGCTTTAGGGAAATTGTTTAACATATGTCTGCAGTACACTGTTCAAGTTTCACGGCGTTTAGGATCCTTATGTAACTTCTTATTTTAATTAAGCCTGATGACTATTTAGTTCCAGACACTCTAATGGACTCTTCCTAATACGACCTTCTTTTTGTCTAAGCATTTCTTGGTCTAATTATAAATGTGCTGCTGACCGTCAGATTATCCTGACTTATTATGTTACACTTCAACTGTTGTTTTTTTTTATTTTACGTTTTGGGGAAGATCTTCATTGCAGTTCTCCAGCTGGCTAGTGCAAGAACTATAATTTTGTTTTGATTGATGTGCTAACATAGCTGTCTCGTGACTTAGAGAAGCGATCAAGATTTCCCTTAATCTTCATAATATTTCAGGATGAACAAAAAGTCCAACACATCACACATTCTTTTCCTTTCTTTTTTATTATGTGAAAAACATCTTATTGACCTGTGACGTAGGATTCTGCTGAAAAGATCTCATCCTCTGAAGTTTGTTTTTAAAAAAGTTAATGTATCCAACTGATAAGAATATTATAGTATATTGTAAATACTTTTACACAGATAACCAGTTTTTTTGTTTGTCGACAATTAAAAATGAAAGTTAAAATTTTTTAAATCGCATTTCATTGTTATGCCTGACAGAATCATGGCTTAACGAAAAGATACCAGATTCAGAAGTGGCACGGGACGAATTTATCATTTTCCGTACCATTAGAAAAACCAAGGGAGGGTGATGGGCGATATATGTTAAGAAAAACAACTACTGTAGTATCAAAAAAAGTACAGTGAAACATGTTTCTTGTACTCTCGCCAGAGAACTACACTGAAAAACTTTAAAACCATTGTATCTACCTAGGGCTTTCACCCAAATCTGTATCATCTTTACTTACATTCCACCTAATGGAAACAAGCTGCAGGCTATTGAGAGACTTTTGGATGTACTCCATGAAAACTAAGACTCCGAAAATCTGACATTCAGCGTGCTCCCCCTGAAGTCACAACTTAAATGAGAACTAATGAGTCCCTGATATGGCTAGGGGAATTAATTGAATGGATTTTTTTTTTGTATTTTTTTTTTCACTAGTGAATACTATAATGTAGATGTCTCGTGTTCAAATTGTTGTATGTATGTGCTGAAAATGTAAAAAGCAATACAAAATTCATTCAATTTCATTTGTTTTGATCGTTAAAAGAATCTTAAGTTATCTTAAATATATATATATACATATATGTATTAAAATATGAAGGTACTTTATCACGTATGCAAATCTGCAGTTCGCCATCTTCTTCGATTACTCGAGCAAACATCATGTATCGGGCGTAGTCAAAATTGTTGTGAAAGCCAAGATGGTGACAATCTCTTGCCAAAGAATCCCATTTGTTCACATCTATTCCATTACGTTGATTGCACACAATCTGAAAAAAATAGAATGAAGACGGCGATATTTTAGTAGCAACACGTTAAAATGAGAACATAATTTCGTATATCCACTACAGTCCCGAAATAGATCCGTTTCGTAATTAAATATATAATTTACTGAAGATAAGTGATTTTTGTCGAGTATGGATATTCACTAAAAATTGTGTGTTGTGATTTCAGAGTTAGTTGTTAATGAGCCATTTTACTGTCGTTAACTATTTTAAAAATAATAGACTTTTAGGTAAGTTATGGTTTTCAATTGCTTTTATACTTGGCACAAGTTAAGCATTTATTTGAAATTGTTCCTTAGCTTTTTGCATGGTGATATTTTTTTTCCAGAAAGAATTTGCTTGTAATATTACCGTCTGAAAGTTCTAGGCAAAATCTTCCAAAAAACTTTCCATTTCTTCGTTGGACAGATTCAGTTTCCTTGAATGTTATAGAACTATTTTCTAAAAAAAAAAGAATCTCTTATAGTCTTCCAAAAGACTCTCATTATGGTTATGTCTGTCTAATAATGCTCCTGTATCAGATTGTTCAGACATCATACACAGTTGTACTTGAATTTGATGGCTTGCAGCTTCTGTTAGACCAGTATCCCATAATGAGTCATCGTTAATTATAGCCTGTGCAATATATACTTACTGGAAAGATGAAAAAGGGATAGGATTCCCTTTGCAGATTCTTAGGTCATTGAAAGATGTCACTCCTTTTACATTGAGAAGATCATTTTGGATTAATCATTTTCCTCTATCCGTGAGTCTTAAGTTAAAAATGTTGCTTTTTGCAGTTCATGTCATAATGTGTTTTCCATTTTGAAAATTTTGTCTTCACAGGTATACATTTCGTAAATTTAAATATATATAAATTCTCTTAGGCAATCGAGGTTTCCTAAATAAATTTCAAAAAGACAAAATTTTGGATATAGTTGCTTTTTAGTGTTTGCTGTACACTGTACAGTGTCAGCTGCCTTGCCTCGCATGGAACAAAATGTACTTTTGTGCAATCTTTTAATATCAATGGTTTGTGGTGCATTTTATATTCCAGCATGTTTGAGATGCGCATGCAGTAATAAACAATTTAACAAGCCGATCAACTTTTGGTTCTATCACCCCCTAAAAACCCCAGAAATGACGCACTTGGGTATACAATGTAAAGTTTACTATACACAAATTCAGGATTCAAAGTTATTATTGAATTTGTCATTTTTTAAATTTTTTTTACGATTTATGCTTTGGAATCTGTTTATTGATTAATGACAATAAATAAAGGTCGACTTTAAAGCTGAAAGTTTATACTAGAACAATGAATGTGAAAGCTTGAATTATAAAGAAAGGCCTATAAAAGAAGAAGCAAAGAGCCTTCCTTAGCAGAAAAGACAAATGATGAAACGAATAAATAGAAAGTTGATCAAGAGCCAAAATATTCGCCACTCATGTAATAGATTTGTCAATGCGTCTTGTGTCGATATTATTTGAGAAACTTTGCTTGCAAAATATTTTTTTTATAATTTTGCTTGTGAATCGAAATGTTATAGTTCTTTTGAAAATATCTATTATTTAATTATAAAAAGTGTTAGACTGCAATAAAGATTTAGAATAAATTAATAACACACGAACAAATTATTCGATAGTGTCCTTGAAAATGTCATTATTCTGGACAATGGAGTCATTGGAACTCGGCGTGTAAAAGGTTTTATCTTGTAACTGTTTGGAGGCCTCTTCAATGTATAGATTCTTATCCCGAACAACAACAGCTCCACCCTTGTCTGCCGGTTTGCAAAAAAGTGCGGTAAATTATACATAGGAGAGACAGGTCGTTGCCTTGGAGACCGGCTTAGAGAACGCCTCTATAACATAAATAAACAAGCTCTCTGTCTGATCTCCAAACATTTCAATAGCCCTAGCCATGATGGTATCTCAGACATCGCTGTTTCTCGTTTACTCTATAATAGTAACACTACAGATATAATCTATATGGAATATACATTAATAACAAGATTTGGCACGTTATTTCCTGATGGAATAAAGCAAATTTATTATTAGGGTAATACCTATTTGACCAAGATTACTTTGTATCATAAGGTAAAAAGGTGAATGAAAGCAGCGCCTCTTACGTTGTATCAGCATGGTCGGAGTCATACTACAGCAGTTCATGTTTAAATATTATACTAATTTAAAGGGATTTGAGATATGTGTTTCACTTTTGGCATATTTTATTATTATTCATTTTATTTAACAAGATTATTTGATCGCATAAATCAGGGACATGTACGTTTATTTATCTTTTTTTACAAAAAACAACAATTTAGGGATCGCATTATTTGAGTCCATCATTTGAAACGCGGTAATAAATGATGCTTGGATTAAACTAAACATAAGACAAAGGAAGAATAACTGACCGGCGTTAAAGTGAAAAAGCCGACAACCTCATTTTTTTTTTTCAAACATTTCGAATGGCCTATTTCTGTTTGACCTATTGGGGCCGCAAATTGTTTTCCACATATTCATGAACGATATTAATACGCGTTTACTTTAGTGCAGACTTCTATGTGAATTGATGAATGCACCTTATGATCCTGATCAACACAGTGACATGTTTTTAATCTTGGTTATCCATTTCCTCAAAGTAACATTGGCTATGTCACTTCATTTTGCGATAATGTCCAACTTTTAGTCAATAAACGGTTTATTTCTCTGGTATGTTTCAACTATATCAAAGAGAAAACTTTTAAACTTTACCTTGAGTTTTTTTTTTTAAATATTTTAATAGGGCACCACTTCAAATGATCAATTTTGCATTTGATTTTTTCCCTTTATTTCATGGCAGGACGGAGGCAATGTTAACATGGGCAGACTAATTCTGTGATATTTTTCAAACGATTTTAATTAGACAACTTTTACATATTAACTTAATATTTGTCTAAAAATGTTGATTGGGTTCTTCTTTGAGTAAAAATATGTCCCCCTAATAGTTATGGCCCCTGTGCAACACTTAGTTGCAAAAAAACAACAAAAATATGTCCCCCTAAAAGTTATGGCCCCTGTGCAACACTTAGTTGCAAAAAAACAACAAAAATATGTCCCCCTAAAAGTTATGGCCCCTGTGCAACACTTAGTTGCAAAAAAANATGGCCCATTAAGTGATCATGACATGGCCCATTAAGTGATCATGACATGGCCCATTAAGTGATCATGACATGGCCCATTAAGTGATCATGACATGGCCCATTAAGTGATCATGACATGGCCCATTAAGTGATCATGACATGGCCCATTAAGTGATCATGACATGGCCCATTAAGTGATCATGACATGGCCCATTAAGTGATCATGACATGGCCCATTAAGTGATCATGACATGGCCCATTAAGTGATCATGACATGGCCCATTAAGTGATCATGACATGGCCCATTAAGTGATCATGACATGGCCCATTAAGTGATCATGACATGGCCCATTAAGTGATCATGACATGGCCCATTAAGTGATCATGACATGGCCCATTAAGTGATCATGACATGGCCCATTAAGTGATCATGACATGGCCCATTAAGTGATCATGACATGGCCCATTAAGTGATCATGACATGGCCCATTAAGTGATCATGACATGGCCCATTAAGTGATCATGACATGGCCCATTAAGTGATCATGACATGGCCCATTAAGTGATCATGACATGGCCCATTAAGTGATCATGACATGGCCCATTAAGTGATCATGACATGGCCCATTAAGTGATCATGACATGGCCCATTAAGTGATCATGACATGGCCCATTAAGTGATCATGACATGGCCCATTAAGTGATCATGACATGGCCCATTAAGTGATCATGACATGGCCCATTAAGTGATCATGACATGGCCCATTAAGTGATCATGACATGGCCCATTAAGTGATCATGACATGGCCCATTAAGTGATCATGACATGGCCCATTAAGTGATCATGACATGGCCCATTAAGTGATCATGACATGGCCCATTAAGTGATCATGACATGGCCCATTAAGTGATCATGACATGGCCCATTAAGTGATCATGACATGGCCCATTAAGTGATCATGACATGGCCCATTAAGTGATCATGACATGGCCCATTAAGTGATCATGACATGGCCCATTAAGTGATCATGACATGGCCCATTAAGTGATCATGACATGGCCCATTAAGTGATCATGACATGGCCCATTAAGTGATCATGACATGGCCCTTTTCGCTAGACCCTACTTGGGACCTCAAATTATTTACATAATTTAAAGTTACCTTGACCCTAGATTATAAATAAAGATCACAGTGTGATTTGTTTTAATTTCATTTCTGAATGTATTTATTTATTTACTTATATCTTTAATACTTTTGACCGATACAGATAATACGTCAAGAGTTGTCCTATCTTATAATAAAACTAACATTGGATTTAATTTTTTTTTTCGATCTTGTGATGGCGCACGGGGCTAGTAATTGTTATAATAACTTTCAACATAGGGGTTCTTCAAATGATTTAACTTGAATTAAAATCTTGGCAATTTATGGAGCAATTTAAAGTTGTTAAATATTACCTTAAATATTAATATAGATAAATTGTAGGGGACAATTTATATATAATGAAGTTTATTATGAAGAAACAATTTGTATAGTCTTAAAAATTGTATAGAACCATTTGGAACGCACGAATATTTTGCTTTAAAATCTTGGGTGTTTATTTAAACGATTTTAAGAGGTCACTTAATAATTCATATATTATATGATATGGGGGTTGTCATGAGATCCTACATGGTCTCCAAAAAATATTTTTTTTAAATATACAATAATTTTTTTTTTTAAAAATTGAATGTCCCGAATGATAAATAATTGTAACTATTATGTACATGATTTTTTAAATGAGATTTCGTTTCAAGATGAAGGATAACATAGTAGGGATTGCGTTCAAGCCACGTGAATAAATTTAAATTCAAGATAAATCTGGTAATAAAATGAAATGTGATTCTATGATGAGACTGGTCAACAAAATAATAACAGAATTTTCAATACCTACCAAATGTAGTTAACATTTTACATGGTACAACTGTTAATTTTTTTAAAGGTTATCTTATCCTTTTAAAGGGTAACTGTTGTACTTTATAGACAATTATTCTCGATAAATTTATATTTACAATATATTTAAAGAGCCTCCTCTAAAATTTATTATTATAATTCATTCGAACCTGGCTGTTAAGTCATATGTATTTATATATGTATATATACATCTTTATTGACATTATTTGTTATGTAATGCAATTCACAAGGTTTAATTTCAGAATTATATGTTGTCTAACTGTTTCAATTAGGTAATACCAGCATGTTATTCCAAGTATTATATTCTTTATTGTATAACATCAAACAATTTTTAAAGTTAAAATAATTGTTCTTTTTTTTTTTTAAATTTATAACCTTACATTTAATGCTGTATACCTAAAATGTTCTTTAGAATAGAATTAAAAAGAGTATTAAATACATTCTTACCTCATACAGAAATGCTTTATCTTCGTTCCTCCCTATATATGGCCAGTCCTGTCAAATATTTTTCAAATCAAATTTAAATATACTATTACTATAACTCTTAGCCAAAATATTGATAATAAAATGCGTTTTAAAATGACCATATGATTTTTTTTTAAACTTTAAATGATATGTTTTAAAACATGTTTAAACTGTACATATGACTGGTACATATTAAAATTGATTATTTTGGCAACATCTTTTCACTCTTTTAAAATACATGACAAATTACAGATATATTTCTCAAATTTCATTTATTTTGCTTTGTTGTTAATATTTTGAATTCTCCGTTGATAAGCTTGTACACACAAGCAACTAACAAAATACAAATAGATTTGAAAATGTGAATTAATTGAAAAGACGATATGAGTAACGCACAGCTTTGCCTGTGGTCTTCAAGGGACCTCCGATTTGCTCTTTTATAAAAATGATGTCATCATCTTTGAGACCAAACTCAATAAATCTCTTTTCCAAGGAGTTTGCCCTGATCAGCTCTTCAAACATTGTGACAGCAGCCTTCTCATGCTGGATGAGTAGCATTAAAAAAGTAAAAAGAATAAATATATATATTTATCAAATCGATTAATAGGATTATATATTCGATGCTAACTCTTAGCTATTAAAAGATTAATGAACACTATTCTTCGTATGTTTTGTTGATAAAGTTATGTAAGCCTCAAGATTATTTAGAACACCTTTTATGTTTTATTTATAACCTAAGATAATTTGTTTACCTTAATTTTATTTTCTGGATTGATTTTTGCAAGAAATTTATCATCAAAAACATGTGAAAATGGACCATGTCCTAAAATAAGAAAAAAAAACACATAAATTTAGTTTTATTTATAAACAAAATAATGTTTTATTTAACATACACATTTGAATGTATAATCATTATTGGTACTCATTTATTTTCATTTCCATTTGAAGAACAAATGCATCTTTTTTTTTAATCTGAGAGCTATTTGTGCAATATTTAAGCATCTATGTGCAAGCAATATAAGAATATATGTTCTGCTGGTTATATAGACAAATTGGCTGAAAGTTTTTTTTTTAGCTACACATCATCACTCGTCATCTTTCAACAAATGTGTAAAGCCCTTAAATTATATTACGTCACATGATTAGAGAAAAACTTCACTCTTTAAATTGGAAGTAATTCAGACATTGCAAGTTAATGGGGCATTATTTGGAAACTCAGGTTTCTTAGGAGCTTCTGTGCCTTAGCAATATGCACAACATAATTAATGGATAGACACGTTTTGGTTTGGAACAGGTTTTTCATTTAAGGTGTGCCTTTGTTTAAACATATTTTGGTAAAACTTACATTTTTTAAAATTGTAAAATGTGTTTTTTCTTGTTTTGTATTTCCGCTAATGCAAGCATTTTTTCCTTACAATCACATATTTTACTAACAGTTGTTAGTTTTCTAACATTTTTTTTAACTTACAGGAGTTCTTTGAAATCAGTTCTTTTTTTTAATTTGATAGTTTCTGCTGTCAAGGGAGATTTTAATATTATTTTTTCATTGCCTTGGGTTTTTTTTTTCTTTTCTTGTTACACCCTAGCCTGTGTGTATTATTTCTTTTTTACTCAAGTGTAATGAAGTTGCTCATTTACTATTATACTCTTTCTCTAGTATGATGAAGTGTTACTTCTCTTAAACCATACGAATGATACCTCCAAGACATGAGTGATATCTAAGCAATATGTATGATTATGAGTCTGCTTCAAAGAGACACTATTTTGTTTATGATGCCCTCGCTAGCAAAAGGAAATTGACCGCAGCTCTAAAAAGCGTATTGTCATTTACCAAGGTCATGACATAGGCCTGCAATCTCCACGCATAAGATGTCAATTTCAGTGATGCATAATTCTGGTTGATTCTGCTGGAGAATTCGTGCAAAGTTTCCAGCCAGATTGTAAACTCTACATTTAAAAAAAAAAAAAAGGAAACAAGAAGTAAATTAAAACGAAATGTGTAAAAAATATTTATTGTGTGGAATTTACGATCGACAAGTCTCTTTACTATTGCATTTATATACATCCTAGTGACTTGATCCATTGAATGAACTGAAAAGTTACTAACTTAAAAAAAAAATACTAAATTTTTTTTTAATGATTTATTATTAATACATATGTATTTGTCCTTGCCGGCTGCTTGTTTTAGTATTGACTTTCACTATTTATAAAATCGACGTGAATACCTCAAGCGTAACTTTTAAGATTTTACATATTTAAATGTGTATTTCTAAAAGAAGCGCCCGTTTCTGAAAAAACTATTTAGTGCTTTTAAGAATCATATACTGTGTGTGTCTGCCTCTAGAACGCGTCTCCATGTATTCTTAGAGCTTCCCCTCTTCGTTGAACTACGTGGATTCTATTTTTGGCATTTTCTGGAGCAGTCAGCTGGGGTTTTTTAAAATGTTTAACTCGCTCATAATTTTTCTAAGGCTATTGTATGAAGGTCTGTAGTTTCTGGGAGATGTCGCTGTTCTCCAAGTTTCCGCTCCTTGGAGTAGAGCTGAAATTGATTTTTATTTAAATTTCGGACTTAATTTGCCAATTAGCTCATATGATTCAATTTTTTTTTCTAAAAGCAAAAAATCAAATCCAACCTTTATATTGCTTGCATTCACATCAGTTTCCCACTTTTGTTTATTTCTGTGTTAGCTTTAGTCTTTCCCAAGCTAGATGGTGATCAACCACAAAATCACATCACCTTTTAGCTCGTACGTCTTATTTTATTTTTTTACTAATGATTATCTGGTCAATTTTATTTTCTGTTCCGATTTAGGAAAACGTGTGAATTTCCTTATGCCCCAAACTGCGATGTCATTGGCAAGGCAGAAGTCAAATAATTTTTTGTCTTTTTACTTTCTCTTTCCTAAACCATTGCGCCCACAATATCTTCATATACTTTACTTCCTCTGCCAATCTTACCACCTATATCTCCCATTATGATAATTAGATACCCTCCTGTCCTTTTTTCTAATTTAACTTCTCGTCTATGGTAGAAGCTTTGCTCTTATCATCATTTGCTGGATATATGGCACTGCATTACATATACATACATTTTCTACTTCTTGGTCTCTGAATTTTTGCTTTTACCTTTATTGGACAATCTGCTTCACATCCTATCACTGACCCTTGTGCCTGCGTCTCATAATAACAAACAATGAACAATTGTGTGTGTTGATCATTTTCCGTTTCATACCCTAGGTATATTAATATTTCTACCGATGCCGATGTAAACTTGTATCTTGTGTGTATCTTGTGTGTATTTTGTGTGTATCTTGTGTGTATCTTGTGTGTATCTTTTGTGTATCTTGTGTGTATCTCGTGTGTATCTTGTGTGTATCTTGTGTGTATCTTGTGTGTATCTTGTGTGTATCTTGTGTGTATCTTGTGTGTATCTTGTGTGTATCTTGTGTGTATCTTGTGTGTATCTTGTGTGTATCTTGTGTGTATCTTGTGTGTATCTTGTGTGTATCTTGTGTGTATCTTGTGTGTATCTTGTGTGTATCTTGTGTGTATCATGTGTGTATCTTGTGTGTATCTTGTGTGTATCCTGTGTGTATCTTGTGTGTATCTTGTGTGTATCTTGTGTGTATCTTGTGTGTATCCTGTGTGTATCTTGTGTGTATCTTGTGTGTATCCTGTGTGTATCTTGTGTGTATCTTGTGTGTATCTTGTGTGTATCTTGTGTGTATCTTGCTTCACAAAAATAGTGTAATGTGACGTTATATGTTCTCATTGACGTCACTATTTTTGCTAATTGAGTAGTCTCGCGCATTGTTATAACATTTCATAAGTATATGCGCATTGCTTTTAATAGAAGATTCCTTGATTTTAGGACATTAAGTATGAGTTAGAATTGGCCACAGGGCTTCTAAACTTTTTTGGGCCAAATGATTTATTATTTAAAAATCTTGTCGACGTTTCAGTAGAAATATTTGTTTTTCATGTGAGGTTACTGGCCTCATGCAAACCCTACTACATTTTCAGCAATGCGGCTTAACATTTTGATGAAGCAACTTTATATTTCAAAATACACATGCAATGACAGAACGATTTCAGATTTCAATACTGGCGAAAGTCAAACAATTTTTTTTAATTATTCAGAACAACTTATTCACGAAGCGAGCACTAAAGATTACATTACATCTATTTTACTGAAATTAACACACACACACATAATTTTACTTGTCACATAATAGTAATGTAATAACTTGTATATGAAATGTATAAATAATAATTTTAAAAATTAACTCTGTATTAAATATATGTATATATATATATATA